GGCCCAAGGCGTTGTGTCGGGGATCAGCGCACCCGACCACAGAGGCGACACTGGCAGGAGGACGAACGTCCCATCCATCCATTCCCGTCCTGAACTTTTGTTATAAGGCCTGCAGCCTTCCCACCCTCATGCCGCGTCCTCCTCTCCTTTCTTCTCCTTCCACTATCCTTCTCCTTTGACCTTTAATAGTGTTGCATCTGCCTCATCCTCTTGGAGTGGTGGACCCAAGTCAACATACACCATAATGTCTTCCAAGGACTCCATTCCCGCCGCCGATGGCGAGAAGGGCATCAAGGCCCAGCCAGTCACCACTGGCGAGGTCCACGATGGTAACATCACGACCTCTTTCGACGAGGAGCCTTGGGCGACCCGGGCTGGTCTGAGCTTGGACTCGTTCAAGTGCAAGGTCTACGGTCACGGTATTGTCGAACTCGACCGCCCCATGAAGACGCGCCATCTGCACATGATTGCCATTGGTGGTTCCATTGGTGCCGGTTTCTTTGTCGGTTCCGGTGGTGCTCTCAGCAAAGGTGTAAGTGAACTCCCATCATTTCCCTCCTTCAAGGCGCGCCTCGCTCAATCGTTGGCCCTCGCTTGGCTTCGAGCTTTCCGCAACTGCTTGCGGTATCTCTTAGGGGAGCCATTTCCACCATTCAGAAGCAATGACTGACCCTTTGGTAACAGGGCCCTGGTTCGGTTCTGATTGATTTCTTGATCATCGGTGTCATGATGTTCAACACTGGTAAGTGAATAGCAAGAGTTATCCAAAGAGCGCAACCAAAAATGGGACTAACAGATATATGCTAGTCTACGCTCTTGGTGAACTCGCTATTATGTATCCTGTCTCCGGTGGTTTCTACACGTACTCGACCCGCTTTATCGATCCCTCGTGGGGTTTCGCCATGGGATGGAATTACGTTTTCCAATGGGCCATCGTCGTGCCTCTCGAATTAACAGTGTGCGCCATTACTATCGGATACTGGGACTCGGAAACCAGCATCGGTGTGTGGATTGCCGTCTTCCTGGTCATCATCATCATCGTGAGCGTCTTCGGTGGTATTGGATATGCCGAAGAAGAGTTTTGGTCATCCATCCTGAAGCTCAGCGCCACAATCATCTTCATGATCATTTCCTTTGTCCTCGTTTTGGGTGGTGGCCCCAAGGGCGGCCGCTATGACGAGTACTGGGGAGCCCGCTACTGGTATGATCCCGGTGCTTTCAAGAACGGATTCAAGGGATTCTGTTCCGTCTTCGTTACTGCTGCCTTCTCCTTCTCCGGTACTGAACTGGTCGGTCTCGCTGCTGCTGAGACCCGTAACCCTGTCAAATCGATGCCTGGTGCTATCCGACAGGTGTTCTGGCGTATCACTCTCTTCTACATCCTCGGTCTCTTCTTCGTCGGCCTTCTCATTGACTGTAACGATCCGTCGCTGCTCTCCACCTCTGCCTTTGCCGATGCCAAGGCCTCACCCTTTGTGCTTGTCGGCAAGTATGCTGGTCTGAAGGGCTTCGATCACTTCATGAATGTCATCATTCTTGTCTCTGTCGTGTCCATCGGTGTCTCTGGTGTCTATGGTGGTTCTCGTACCCTCACTGCCCTGGCCCAGCAAGGCTATGCCCCCAAGCTGTTCACATACATTGACCGCTCTGGTCGTCCTCTCCCCTCGACCATCGCCGTTATCGTTTGCGGTGCTCTCGGCTTCATCAACCTCAACGCCGATGGTGTCACTGTCTTCAACTGGCTTCTTGCCCTGTCGGGTCTCGCCGCTCTCTTCACTTGGGGATCCATTTGCCTGGCTCACATTCGATTCCGTTCCGCCTGGGCCTACCACGGCCACACTCTGGATGAGATTCCATTCCAAGCCGTCGGTGGTGTCTATGGTTCCTATCTCGGTCTCTTCCTCTGCTTCATCGTCCTCGTCGCCCAGGTATGTATATATGTTCTCCGATGAACTGGCTTCATTATGCTGACTGATAAATCATAGATTTACGTTGCCATTGCTGCCCCGATTGGAGAGTCTGGTGTTGGTGATGCTGAGAACTTCTTCATGCAATGTCTGGCCATTCCCGTCGTTTTGGTGTTCTGGATCATCGGTTTCCTCTGGAAGCGAACTGGCTGGCTCAAAGTTAGCCAGATTGATGTTGACACTGATCGTCGTGAACTTGACTGGGAGTTCATCAACGCCGAGCGTGCCCAGATTGCCGCCCTGCCCGCATGGAGGCAATTCTTGGCCAAGATCTTCTAAAGGGGAAGGCTTTCTGAATCGCATTTGCTCTTTCGTAGTGTGAGATGAGGTGGATGCGGTCGATAATCTGTACATGGATTTCAAGTCGCCTTGCACATGACGGTTTTACATCCTCGACTAGTATTTTCCTGTGCAACCTGTTGGAACATTAGATACCATTTTACTATTTATAATTGTCAAATAAGAACAAGCATTGACTGAATCGAGCTCACCTCAAATCGACGTTGAACATTGTGCTATGTTTTCAGGGTGACCAGAAAGAGCCGCAGATCACGGCGATCTCGGCCTTGCATGCATCCATGCATGCAAGTAAGGGTATCATCGCGTCGAGAGTAGTACTGAAAGACATGTGTGATTACATGCGTAAGTTTTCGATATGGGGAGCCATATTATAAATAATCCCCCTCACAGCTGCACACTTGTATTTCGATTTTCCTCAACTGATATTTAGTCATAAACTGCTCGTCATCAACGCCCTACGGGTCATGTCAAGTCCAGACTGGGGGCGCACGCCCTTCTGGTGGATATGAGGGTGGAGTAAGTAATCATCCCACGATTCCCAGCCAAAGCGCGGATACTGCCGCCACTAGCCGAAGAGCAAGGCGCGAACCGTCTTCACAGCTTATTAGCCTGGTTAATGGGCAGGAAATGTTGGTCATCTTGCGAGCTATAGATGGCTGTATGGTTGGTGGTGTATTCACACTTCGCGACGATCCAACACACATTCCAGAAGCCATGAACGATGGGTCTGCCCATCACCCAACGGCTCCCTCTATTAACAGTACGTAAAAGACTGCAGCTAGGCGGCATTGTCGAATCCACCAAATCTCCAGGTTCGGTAGGAGAACTGAGAAGCTTTGACCGGACGAAATGCGTAGGGCGCGCATCCCATCCCATGGCATGTCGAAAGTGGCCGGGTTTGCACGGTATTGGTCCGTTTCCCTGCTCGAAGCTTTTCACGAACGGACGGGGGTGGAGATGTCTTGCTTCCACGTTAGCCAACAGTTCTCAACGACATGTTCACTAAGCCGGGAGCAAGCTCTTTGAAGAGCCGACTGGGCCGGATCAGACGGTGGGCACGGACAGGATGCGATGAACACGGATGGGATAAGATGCTTACTTGGATCCTTCATGGCTTGGCCTGATCCATGGCCGAGGAGCAGCAATCACATCATCATGTGTCAATCTTAGCACATCCAGGAGCAATGTGTCCATGGGGCAAATCAGTTCAGATGTTGGTCAGGAGACGAGTGACAGCGGTGGTTCCCAAAAGAAAGTACAGTATTTCAACACAGCCTTAGTCATTGACTTGGGTTGAGCAAAATAGAAGCTGATTTTAGGTCCATCCATCTCCCCTTTTCTGAGATCATGATCTCTAGTTTCAATACAAAGTGAGTAGTTGGCCCCCTGCCAAACAAGGCACAGCGAACCCAGCCAAGTGGCTGTCTAAAAAACAGTGACTGCAAAGCCACCTCGACAGAACTACTACAGGATTCAGTCAAATAACAATGCTTCCTATTGTATAACAGTAAGCCAGCGGAGTAGCGAATATCCTGAAAAGGGATAAAAAATTAGACCAAGTACGCGGACTTGTTGAATAGTCTGCGCGACATCGATATCAACCCTTCAACCTCGAGCCAGAGGCTTCGCCTTCTCAAAGCCCACGAGATCAAGCTCATGTCAATCTACAACAGGAAGGATCCCTTCTACGTCGCCCGTATCAACAATCTCGATGAGATATGCGAGATTATCAGGGATTGTAAGCATGATAAATCGAAACCGAGAAAATCATCATACATTTTGCACCATATTGCTTAACAACTACTTAAGAGTTTATTCTTGTTACTATTAACTACCTAGTGCCCGTCAATATCCCGGCCTGTGTTGGAAAGTCGGGATTAAAAGACTTGAACGCCCACTTGCAAACCAGCCTCAACACTTCCGGAGAATGGCAATGTTAGTATCACACATAGAAACATTGTAGCTTTTACGAAGTCTTTAATCCACGAGGAACGAAAGGTAACTAAACAAATGAAATGTTTAGACACGAACAATATGCCATCTTCCATCCGAAGAGTAATGCGTGCGGAACCGCCTTCGGAGCATCCGGCCTGGGCTGGTTTATGACTGCGCTCACCTGAAGGGACGAGGAGGAGGACCTCGAGGACATATACCGCAACAAAGGCTCAGACACGATCGCGACAGGCTGAGAAGCGTGAGACGGGAGGAGACAAGGCAGAAGGTTGAGGATCACCGTTCCACCGCAGGCAATGAGCGGAAGACTGCTGTGGTGCCGGAGGGAGTCAGGACAAGCAATCCCAGCAACCACTCCTCCCTCGAGTTACACTGCAGGGTGTTGGCAGAGTCGAAGATGTCATGACACAGACGACATTCGTGTCTCGGCCGCTGAGACAACTTACCCGCCATTCAAAGCTATTCTACCCTAAAAAGCTTTGCCAGTCTCTCTATTTACAGATCCTCTATCCCAAGATCTTCGAAAGAGTAAAATGTGTCAGAGAAATTGACAGTTTCGTCAACGAGTTCTTATCGTACAACATTCGTTGGGAGCACGTTGGGTTCTCACTCTCAGTCCAACAAGGAACAGCGTTCCATTAGAGCCAGTAACGCTCCTACAGTTACAGTCATAATTCAATCTCAACGTAAAATCCAAGATGGCATCAAGTTCGTCATTCATCTCTAGAGAATATCCTTAGGGGGGAAATTAACAGGCGGCCTGGGTTGATATCTGGCTGATTACCGCTCCACCATGGCACGGGCATCGTGTACAGTTGACCTCGCCATCGTCTTCAAGACGATCCTTTCATCAGCCTCGCGGAACTTTTCCCACGAGTCCAAGCCCTCCTTTGCCTGGATACTCAGCGTCTCGTAGCCCTGCTTGATCACCTCCGTCACTTGCTGAGGCGTTAAGCTGCTCGGCCGTTTCTTCCCCTCCGCGAGCATCTGCTTGTAATGGGCGCTCACGTTGATCAGTGTGTCGATGGAGTTGGTGTGGCGGTTTGAGAGGCGGTAGTTCTCCTTGAACTTTGTCAGGGTCTCGCCGGACTCCACCACCTTGTAGAAGAGGTCGTCGTAGGCAGCTGGGGTTGGCAGGAATGCCTCTCCTGCAGATAATGACAGAGCCACCAGATTTACCACATGGTCCAGCAACGTGTCAATCCGCGGCAGATCCTTGAGGTCAGCATTGTACTGGCTCAGGAATCGGATCAAGGATAACAGCGAGCGAAATAATTCTGGCCAGTGATACTTGAGCCGCGTCCTCGACCTCGAAAGGTGAGAGATGACGCGCAACAGAATCCCCACGCAGAGGGTATACATTCTCACGTCCAGGCGCTTCCTGAGATTGTGGTTGATAGCATCAACCATTACGTCCAACAGGCAAGCTGCCAGCACCCTGTCTCCCTTGACAAGGGGAAGATATGGCTGACGATGGCGACAGAGGCGCACGGGTGTTGCCGACCCTTCGGCACAAATTCTTTTGCAGATAGCAGGGTCTTCTATTAGTTGTCGTAGCACCATGAGGTTCATATGGGCGTAGTCGGACGCCCTTTGTGAAAGATGCGCGTGTTGTAAGAAGTATGAAGTTAAGGAGAGGTAGCTGGCAAAGGGCTGTTCTTCACCCTCCACCGCAGGGACGGCGACCAGGTTGGCACAGAATAGTTTGTTCGCATGTGCAAAGTCATACGTTGATAGTAGAATGGCAGCATTATCTCCCGGGCTTAAAACGATCAGTCCGTGCTGGACCAGCAGCAAGAAAGCGGTCTCAGAGTGTCATCACTTACAGTTTGGTAAACATCTGTTTGGTAGTTTCAGCATCATATACGGGCTTCTTCTCCGGTTTCGGACCAGGTATGATGAACCCAAGTCCAATCATGTTCAGCGTCCTTGAGAGAGTCCAGCCCTCGGGGAGATCATCTTGGACATCCACGTACTCGGCCCGCACTACCTGGCACGTATATCCAATGCAGCGGATGATCTTCTGGATGGTCGACTCGTTGACAAAGTCGCTTAGGCGCATCTGGTATGGATTCCGAAACTCGAACTTGTTGTAATTAGACAAGAGACCAATTAGTGTAAATGGTTCGAGTATTTGGCCCGGCATGTCCGTATCTTGTATAAACTGCGCGGGGTGTGTGAGTCCGTGATATCGGTTTCTTCTGCGGGCCAAGCACCCACCTTGATTATAGACGGGAACAAGTCTCTTTGAATCATATACGTAAGCAGCGTCGTCTGGTAAGCCCCCGCGGTAGTCGCAAGGAGAACCTCAACCGCCTTGTGCCGTACCTCCACTAATCACCATTGTTAGCCTCGATATCAACTCCTACAGTCCACCGGGGGAGGGTCGCGCCCACAAGTCTGCCCATTTCGAATAAGTCCATCGAGAGCACCGACACAATCTGTAAAGACCGTGTCTACTTGATCAAGGCCCGCCAGCACGGAGATGATATCTGAGCTCGGGTGGGGATATCGCTTGCCCAGGACCGAGGAAAGGAAGACGCTCAGGGTCTACGGATTACGCGGTCAGCCAGTCGACCACTATTGCTTCGTCTAGGGGGGTTCGTCGGGCATACGTCAAGGGCATTCGCGGGGGTGGTGCCTCGTCCATGCTTCAGAGTCTCGACCGCACGAGCGAAGAGCTCTCTTGTCCGGGATTCGAGCAGGAGTATCTCGTCTGGTGGGATTTCGTTGAGGATCGATCTCAAAGCGGCGCGATCTTGTCGGTGGAGGAAAAACTCCCTCCAGAAGCCCTCGGACTTTTCGCTAATATCATCTTCCTAGCAAGTCGTATTTCCATCAGTCGACGAGGGGGGGGCAACGGGACCAGGGCGTCCGGGCGGGTTAGATGCTAACCTGTCGCTGAAGGTTAGAATGCGCGTGGCACAGCAATGGGATATTAGCAGTTTGAAACAGAGGGACAGACCTTGAATAGAGTTTCATAGAGACTGATAATTTTGGGAGTGAAGACCTCTGGTTGAGGTTGGCGGGTGAGGGGTGATGCTTCCATGTGAGTCTAATTTCCCAGGGCCTTTGAGTGTATTCATGTTGTTGGGCTTGACATCTGATATCCAATTTGAGAGGCCACCATCATCCGCAGCTAAAGCAGTTGTACAGTTTTATCATTGTGCGTTCGCACGGTATCACTCTGTTTAGCAGCTTCTCTACAGTAATATCTCCCAAACGCACTGTGTGCTACCCTACATCGAGATACTGCTGGTCGCCTTGCATCTCCTCCCTTGTGACAGGAAAATATAACCTCATGAATTTCCTGGTTTGAGCATTTCCCGCTATCATAACTTGTTTTTCTATTGCAGTAGGGAGATACTATAACATCGTAATATCATAGGTTGGGCATGTCCACCATGTCCGCACGTAACTATGTGGTGTATCGAAAGCAAGACAAAGCCTCTAGTAGGTAATCATTCGTAATCAGTAAGACGAATAAAACAAAGATAAAACCATATATTTGATCACATACTAATCATAACCACGTAGTCAAGACTTGGACGTGAGCTTCCTGGCAAGCTTTAGGGATAATCATTGGTTTTCTATTGCTCAACGGTATCAAGGTTGAAAGATCGCAAAAGGTTTCCTCGTAGATGCTTCAGTTGGCATAGACTTTTTCTTTTGCTTAGCTCATGTATATTTATTCAATCGTATATTTAATCACCCTGAACTAAATCGAACGGCATAGTTGATTAAATCATCCTAGCGAGCGAGAACGAACCTGCCTAGGTAGCATTCCAGAGAACTGGAAAATTCTAGGATGGAGTTGAGTCGATGGGCTGATATTGAAAGTTAACCACCGACTTACCCTAAACACACAAAGCATTTACCTGAGGTTTCCAAAACCATCAGCAACCTAGCCACCTAATACGGAAATAATATACAGCATTTCAGCACACGGCAATGAGCCTAGAGAGTCAAAGACAAGGCTGGCAAGAGAAGGCATGGGACCCCTTCACCAACAGACACGTCAAGCAGTAGGGCAGCAAGTCGGAAGTGATGATACAAATGTCGTGCTGAAGAGGCACGTGGCCCAGTACGATGGCATGTCCCACCCGGTCCCCTAGCGGACAGGTACGGTTCGTGTTACCAAGCCGCTAGAGGGATGTTGACCGAAGCGAAGACTAGCTTCCCCCACTGTCCGATGACATTTGGGATGACTTGGGAGAGAGACATATTGGGCAAACTAGGCATGGCCTTTTGAATCAATGAGGGGTAATGACAGGTGAGCTTGACAGGCAGCTAATTTGCCTAGCCACAACACCTTTTTAGCCTCAGTTGTGATAGACCAGGTTGGCACATCAGTTAATGATCGTCGCATGAACGACCGTAATCACCACAAGCCAGTGGGGGGCAGAGCCGAGGTTGAGCTCTGTGACTGGCATCCCTCGCAAGATGGACATCAATTTGGACGATGAGTATTGATAAATATGCCATTGGCCGAGTAAGGGCGTGCATAGAGTCAGCCCACCCGTAATATTCAACGGACGTCGCCCCAGACGGGGAAACGCAGCAGCAACCCAGCAAATCGGACCTCAGCTTCTAGAAAGATGAATCGAATGGGAAGGACGGACGCTGGTTTGGCACGTTGGGGAGCCATAAGGCGACGGGGTGGATGCGATGGGTCGTACCATGGGACGGATGTCACCCAAGTCAAGGATCCGAGAGATGAAGGGGGAGGATTGGGTTTCATCCAAATGCAGCCTGAGAAATATCGATCGGCCACACGAGGGCCTTGATCCAGGTATTTGGCCGTTTATCGCCAGCTGCAAGGGTTGAGCAGTTGGCTCCCTTGTCGTCGACCGGGTCCGACATGGGCCTTGATCCGACACGAATTGACCAGACAACAAGCACAAACCAAGACCAGGCTGCGGTTATAAATGAACGGTCTATCGGCCCCTTACCCCCGCAGTCACATACAGGGCAGATCCCTTCCAAACAGAATGACAGGTGTAGGATCCATCCAGGCGGGCTCCTCATTTTACGAATTTTGCCTAGCCAGACCCGGCTGAAACCTCGCAACGTGGGGACTGTCAATTGAGAACGTGGGTATCAACCGGGATATGAGATGTGATATAGGTGGTTCGCTATTTCGGCTACAGCCATGGGAACCATCCCGCGACATCACATGCTCGAGTCTCTTGAGCCTATGTGGCTCTCAAAAAGTGACCCGAGTGCGGCTCAAAATACCGCACGAAAAGGTCTGTGTCGTCAAATCGCCAACTCCAAATTCCAAGGCTTGCGCAAATGAGCACCCCCATTACTTCCTATCCCCTGCTCAAAGCCAAGGATGCGCGCAATTGAGGGTGTAGAGACCTTGTCGCCCCAAGCTCCGTAAACGCATATTGCTAACGTCTTCAAGGAACAGGGCTCAGTTCAGGTATAGACCGTGCTGTGCCTCTGTGACAAGCCTTATGTTGGCTGAAACCCATGTCACCAACGGCCATATCCGGGTGACATGGAGCGCCGTCTTTGCATTTGGGACGGACGTGTGTCCCATTCTGAACTTTAACATACGGAGAGCCTGCGACCGAGCCGGGATATACACCGTATGCTGATCTCCGGATTCGCTGCACCGAGTATAAGTAATAAGCACGTCCTTCCCAATGCTGTGTTTCAGGATCATGGTGTATACACCCACGCAAGCTACCACCAGAGTGAGGCGTGGTTATTCCAAAGACGGTGGGGATGAACTAGGCCTCAAGCTCCGGGTACCTTAGGGATAGAGCGCGGTTTGACATGCTTTGCGGGCTTGTGGGCGTAGTGGCTCGCCAATGGCCAACCATACCCTGAAGCATGAGGAGGACCAAAGCTTGCCACTTTGGCATGGCTGGAAGCTATTTTGACAGCTGACCCATGGGCATGTGGATGAAGCCATCCCCGTACTTGGCCCAAGCGTGGAGACCAACATAGCAGGAGAGATTCTCACCGGAGCCGGGTGATCAGGTAGATCAATGTCGAGGTAGCATTGTCTGAAGCTGATTGTTGTCAATGCAGAGCAGCTACATTGTAGTTAAATGAATCAATGCAACGAACCGGAAAAAAAGACCTTCCCCAGCTATACACACCACACCATCCTCTAATTTGGCCGCGAGAAGCGCCAGGCTTGACAATGCATTGAATAAGCATAGCTTCCGAGCATAGCTTCGTATTGATGGCGGTGATGGTGAAGGGAGCTCCATGTACGCCGATTGCCGCGCAAGCGGTGAAATTCCGGCTAATGCAACAATTAAAGTTACAAGGATTGCTGGGCAAGAGGTGAGAGAACAAGCGGCTGGGCGCCGAGCAGGTTGGCTGAACGGAAACAGGCACCCCTGGATATGATGCTCCATCAAAGAGTCGGCAAACAGGGAGGAGGGATCTAGAGGTTGGTTTGGTGGATGACCCCGGTCGAACAAAGGAAAAAGCAACCTTTTCCCGCTTACCGACGGCAGCAAACCCAAGAGAAAATTTCTTTTTGTCAATGAGAAACGATTCATAATGCTAATCATCAGAAGCAATTCGCTCGTCGAGTCGAGGTCCTGGACTCCTGAATCCTAGTTACGAGGGCGGGCCGCACCCTTGGCCCGCCGCCACTGCCGTGGGAGACTTATTTCTTGTATTATTATTCGGCATGTCGAACCGATAGAGAAGATCCAATGAGAACCAGAAGCCTGGCCAGGGAATACTGTCTTTGATAGACGATTGCATATCTGGACCCGATGCATGTCGTAGATCCATGCTGTTGGACTCAACACCTGATCAAAATCAGCTGCACGATGCCCATTGTTACATCGGGGGTTCACCACAAGGACATGGGAAAACCTGCAGCCATGTCTAGGTCGTTGGGAGGGACGTACATAGCATGTAGCTAATGTAGGCTGACCAAACAAGTATTCAGCTCACCTGCAACTTTCGGTGTACTGAGACCACCGGAAGACTCAGACAGGAAAAGCCATCGCTATAGGAGGTATGGTGACAGCACTTGGCGATCTCCGTGGATACCGAGATGCATTACGCTATTGGTGCTAAATGACTCCCTAGGGGAAGGCATCCGCCATTGTATGGTCGGTGGAATCGGATCTCTCCCACACTTAGGCAGCGAGTATCTGTGGAAGTTTTCGCACGGAGATAATTTATCGTATTGAGAAAACTCCTCAGCGCATTGGAGTGGAGTGCATTGCAGTAGTGAAGCCATCAACTTGTAGGAGTTGTTTTCGATAGCGTGGGTCTGACTCCTTCCTCTTGGTAGACGAGGTGAGACATTCTCTCAACTTCGCGTGGCATGGCGATGTCTCATCAACGGCGTCCGTAACGCTGTCTGGGTTTCTTGCTAAATCTGCCCACCATGTGAGTTGGGTAGAGCTAACCGACCGGCCTCGGGAGGGTACGAGAGGATTTCTCCCCGAGTAGACTAATGCATGCTTACGGTTCGAATGCCACGAACCTGACCGTCCCGCTCTACTTTGCTTTTTGTTGCTCTTTGCGCTGGTTGTACTTTCTTTTTCCTGCCTTGCTCCCTGGGAGAAGATGTGGCGTGTGTATTGAGGTTCATGACGAAATAGTTGTCCGACGTTATTTAATGTGGCAGAGATCTATTAGATCTTGCCTGCATGGTGACCGTCCATTCTCCGTTCCCGAGGATGGCTGGACCCCCCGGTACAGAGTTCGTCGGGGGTGGACGCGAAGCAATTCCCTACCGGGTATTAGCGTACGGCCATTGAGAACAGTTGCTCGCCTGCGGATCAGGAACCATCCGTGGGGGAGGCCAATGGGCTCGTCCCCCGGTCTGATTGCACTAATAGAGTACGTCGCCAACACAGCCTGTAGATGGCCGTGAGCTTACCTGTTTGGGCTGGGTACGAGGGCCTAGTGGCAGGTTCCTGCAGCTCCGTCGAGAGGAGTTAGTCTGCTTTTGTTCTTAGCCCTCAGGCTGTGAAGACATGAGAGAAGAGAAGATACTGTGTCCCAGAGAGTGGCCCATAGGAGGCAGCCAGGCAGCGTACATCTCCTGGACGGCAG